ACGTGTATATGAACACACACAAACCCTCTCTCTTCAGAGCTGGTGATCCTGAAACCAGAGCCAGTTGGAAGGGCCTATAGCACCTCTGGTGTTTCACAAGTGCCCTTCACAGATTTTCAAAATTCTTTACAGCTCTATCATTTTCTAGTACTCTCTCTGCTGGGGACGAAGCCGACCAAAACTCTAAGGTTTAATGACTGTGCGATTGGACTTTGAACTTGCATGGGGCCTGGAGCCTCTTTGTTTTGGCCAATTTCTTCCCTTTGGGATGGGGGTATTCACCCAATGCCTGCACCCTCATTGTATCTAGGAAGTAACTAATTTGCTTTTGATTTTGCAGGGTCATAGGCGAAGGGACTTGCCTTGTCTCAGATGAGACGTTAGGCTTGGACTTTCGAGTTAATTCTGGAATGAGTTGAGACCTTGGGGGACTGTTGGAAGGGCATGATTGTGTTTTGAAATGTGAGGACGTGAGATTTGAGAGGGGCCAGGAGATTTGAGAGGGGCCGGAACATGAGATTGAGACGGGCAGAATAACATGGTTTGGCTGTGACCCCCGCAAAATCTTACCTTGGATTGTGGTTCCCACAATCCCCACGTGTTGTGGGGAGGGAGCTGGTGGGAGGTGGTTGAATCATGGGGGTGGCTTCCATCATGTTATTCTCCTCGTAGTGAGTAAGTTCTCACAAGATCTGATGGTTTTATAAGAGGTTCTCATTCTTCTCCTTCCTGCCGCCATGTAAAGAGGATGTGTTTGCTTCACCTTCTGCTAGGATTGTAAGTTTCCTGAGGCCTCCCAAGCCCTGTGGTACTGTGAGTCAATTAAACCTCTTTTCTTTATAAATTACCCAGCCTCAGACAGTTCTTTATAGCAGCACGAGAAAAAACTAATACAGCAACCCACTCTATCTCACCATTGCCAAGTCCAAGCGGTATGTCCAAGTGATTTTACTGCAAGTTGTTCTTTGGTAAAGGGAGTGGCGGGTGTGGGGGGGTCTCTAGTCAAGGAAGTTTAGCAGATGCTGCACATGAGACCTCTTCTGGGAAAGTCACAATGCTCACTGACACATTTCCAACTATGCCAAGTCCTACAGTCACCCAGGTTGTTTTCTCAAACATATTTGACATTCATGTCCTCGACACAAGACATCCTGCAAATGCAGCATTCCAAGATGTGGTCATTGGGAAACTCAGCCCTAAATCCTGCTCTCGTGTGCAGCTAAGGCACGTACTCCCCACCCAGTATTGTGCTTTCAGGGTTTTGTGATGCCAAATGCAAGACCCAGCACTGATTCCTCTCATACATCTTGTTAGATTCTGCCTCCCCACCTCCACCCAGCCTGCTGAGGGCTTTCTGGAGCTTGATGCTTGGAACTCTGTTCTGGACCCGTATCTCTCTAGCAAATCTCTCTCTCTCTCTCTCTCTCTCTCTCTCTCACACACACACACACACACGTGGCTACAGGAAAACAGTAGCCCACAGGTGAACACCAGTTCAGCCCTGCAGGGGCTGCTCCTCCTGGGAGGCCAGGCTGGGCAAGTTCCTTCCTATACAAACAGCCCTGCAGGGCAGGGCACTTCTGGAGCATCAGGGAAGAATTTTATGTGGTTTCCAGGGAGATGCATTCAGTTAAAGTTATTTTTCCCTTGAAAGGCCCCAAAGTGAAAAGTAGTTGCAGGGAAGTTGAATTATTACCTAATGCCAGTAGCAGCTGCTGGTAAAAAAGAAGGAAAGGGGGTTGGGAAGCTGGTGTCTGGGAGTTGGGGGCTCATTAACACTCACTTCTTAAATTAGCAAATCCTTATAGCATGAGTTTAAAAATAGCCGGCTAATGGTTTCTAAAATTAGCCATCATTGCTCTCCATAAATATTTAGACCTCCAATAAACCTCTGGTCCACCTGCCTAGCCTAATGGGCTTGGCTTTCATGCCACATTCTTTAGGATCCATATACTTCACAGTTGACCTTGACAGTGAGAGCCGCAAGAAGCCCCACTATGCTTGGACCAGGGACATCCCGTGTGGCTGTCAGCCTGGAGGCAGCCTCAAAGCAGGGCAGGAAGGGATCTCAGAGGCCATTCGAAGATCTGGGCACCTGCAGAAGCCTCTGGTCCTGGTTTCCTTGGGACTGTCTTAGTTTCAGCACTGAAGCTCCCCATCCTGGGCAGCCCCGCGGTCCCAGCAGAGCAGGACCCGTGGTTGCCCTGATCGCCTAAACCCCTGCACAAGGGGCAAGGCTGCTGTTCTAGGATCTCCGTGGGAAGGAGAATCGGTTGCTAACCCCACCCCTCAGCCCTCACACTGACTTCGGTCCTATCTCAGTGAGGCAGGTAGTGTTGAAAGGGGGGAAGACACCAAGGAGCACACTAGCCAGGCCAGGCATAGAATTTTCATCCTCTGCTCCTCGTTTCCCCATGTGTAAAACGGAGACGGTAACAGTCATGGCCGCATTAGGTTGCTAGGAATAAACTAGGACACGTGTCAGTGTTCAAACCGTGCTCAGCCCCTCAGCTGGTGCCATCAGTGTGCTCAGGGCGTAGCGGGGGTCCACCAGCACACCCTCTGGCTGTACATGTCAGGGTAGCCACCTTGGCCTTGGTGCCAGCTCCTCCCCCAAGGCAGTGACCACAAGGACGGCTGCCAGCAGGGACTGTGACGTTGTCCTCAGCCCCTGGACAGAATGAGTGCTTGCCGAGCGGAGGGAAGAAAGGCTTTGTGCAAAGCCAGCATTGTGCACGGTGCGTGTGGCAAATTCTGGGCTGTGACCAGTCATCCCAAACAGCAGCAGCAAAGCCTCCCTTAGCGTATCCGTCCATGCTCACACTGCAGCCGGAGTCAAAGAACGACCTGAGTCTGGTAACTTATAAAGAAAAGAGGCTTCACTGGCTCGTGGTTCCACAAGCTGGATGGGAAGGATGATTTGGGAGGCCTTAGGAAACTTAGAATCTTGGTGGAAGGCAAAGGGGAAGCAGGCATGAGCCACACGGCCGGAGAAGGAGGGAGAGAGAGAGGGGAGCGGGGAGGTGCTGCTCGCTTTTAAACAAGCAGATCTCGCGAGAACTCACTATCACAAAAAGAGCAAGGGGGAGGTCTGCCCCATGACCCCTCCGCCTCCCACCCGGCCCTTCCTCCAGCCCTGGTGACTGCAATTCCACAAGAGATTTGGGTGGGGACACAAATCCGAACCCTCCCACCTGGACACCCCTCAGTCCACCGCGTGTCCTGTGAGGCACCACGTTGTTTTGTTCATGTTTATTTTTGTTTGTTCATCCACCGGGACAGAACCAATTACCTCCTACAATGCCAAGGCATTTAAACCCAGTATATGTTTTTAGATCAGCAAGATGATGGTTTAGACTCCCAGTGGAAGCATCAGTTATTAATTATTTATTCACCAAGTGATTTACATCTAGTAGGGGATTTATTTATTTGTTTTTCAAGACAGAGTCTCACTCTGTCGCCCAGGCTGGAGTGCCGTGGCACAATCTAGGCTCACTGTAACCTCCGCCTCCCGGGTTCAAGTGATTCTCCTGCCTCAGCCTTCCAAGTAGCTAGGTGGTGGCATGCACTACCAATGCCCAGCTAATTTTTGTATTTTTAGTAGAGATGGGGTTTCACCATGTTGGCCAGGCTGGTCTCGAACTCCTGACCTCAAGTATCCACCTGCCTCGGTCTCCCAAAATGCTGGGATTACAGGCGTGAGCCACTGTGCACTGCTGGGCATTTCTTGACAATATCCCAGGGTCTCATGGGCAGCACCCTTCGGCCACACCTTCCTGCCTGCAGCCTGCACAGCTTAAATGAGGCTCAGCCGTCTGCAGAAGAAGAAACAGGTTTTGCCTACTGAGTTCTTGGCCGCTGTGGGACACTGAACTGACTTGTCATCAGCAGAGATGTTTCCCTTTTTTTCCCTTCAGAATCAAAAAAGAGGCTGAGCCTCAGGTTGCCCACTGGGTGGTGCAGCCAGGGCCTAGGGCTTCGTAATTCTGTCTCATTGATTACCTTGCCCCCGGCAGGAGAGAAAAGCTAGTGGTGTCCACTCGAAACTTCCCCTTCCCTCCCTTTCCACCTTCATTCCTTCCTTTTTTCCCTTCCTCTCTCCTCCCTCCCTCCCTCCCTTCCTTTCCGTATTTCCCAGTGTCTTCTATATGCCTGGCCCTACATGGATGCTGAGTCCTTGTCCCCAAAAAGCGTCCTGGATTTTGGTATGCTAAGAATTCTTTAAAAGCCTTGGAAAGGGCTCGACATTCCCATATCCCTGAAAGCCAGGTAGCAGCCTCTGTCTTAGAACAAAGTCACCCTCAGACAGCCCTCACCAAGGACAACTGGACATAGCGAACGGGGAGCGTGGTGGGAGCGGAGGTCCGTGCCGGAGAGAAGGGATGCTGGCCTGGGGTCCTACCGCGGTTCCCAAAGAGCCGTGACCTTGGAAATTCCTGCCCCAGCATCAGCTGACAACCTCTAGGTCACATCCGGCTCTGGAATTCTGAAGGCAACATCTGACCTGCCCAGGGGACTAAAGCTCTCCCTGGCTGAGCGTGTGGGTGGGGAAGCTGCCCGCTTCAGAAAACCCCTCACCCTGACAACGGCGCAGGGCTGTTTTCTAAGTCGCAGCCGGCACACACCTTAACACTGTCGGTCCGAGGCGTGAATAGCGCGTGTTGATTTAACAACTGTTATTCCTGATTACTGATGAACAGAAGGACAGGAGATTCCAGTGCAGCAGCAGTGCTTAAGGGTAGACATAAGCAGAACTTCCCGCAGGCACTGAAGCCCTTCCCCGAGGCCAGCATCCGGCTGTCACCCTTCAGATCTTGCCTTTCCAGGAAAGCAGGTATTCTCCCACCCAGTGACGTCTCAGAAACTATTTTTGAGAACATGCTAATTGCCACACCAACTGCCTATGGAAAACTCGGTTTCGGTGACAGAAATAAGTGCACGAGATAATCTTTAACCCGTTTCCTTTCTCTCCCTGCTCCCGCCTCGCTCGGCTTCATTAGGGTTCCCGCCGGCGCCTGAGGAGCCACACGACCCCGAGGGCCCAGGGAGCTGCCCAGCTGGCCTAGGCAGGCAGCCGACCATGGCCAGCATGGCCGTGCAGCTCCTCGGCTTCCTGCTCAGCTTCCTGGGCATGGTGGGCACGCTGATCACCACCATCCTGCCACACTGGCGGAGGACGGCACACGTGGGCACCAACATCCTCACGGCCGTGTCCTACCTGAAGGGGCTCTGGATGGAGTGCGTGTGGCACAGCACGGGCATCTACCAGTGCCAGGTCTACCGCTCCCTGCTGGCGCTGCCCCAAGACCTCCAGGCTGCCCGTGCCCTCATGGTCATCTCCTGCCTGCTCTCGGGCATGGCCTGCGCCTGTGCCGTCATCGGGATGAAGTGTACACGCTGCGCCAAGGGCACGCCCGCCAAGACCACCTTCGCCATCCTCGGCGGCGCCCTCTTCATCCTGGCCGGCCTCCTGTGCATGGTGGCTGTCTCCTGGACCACCAACGACGTGGTGCAGAACTTCTACAACCCTCTGCTCCCCAGCAGCATGAAGTTCGAGATCGGCCAGGCCCTGTACCTGGGCTTCATCTCCTCGTCCCTCTCGCTCATCGGTGGCACCCTGCTTTGCCTGTCCTGCCAGGACGAGGCACCCTACCGGCCCTACCAGGCCCAGCCCAGGGCCACCACAGCCACCGTAACCACCGCCCCCGCCTACCAGCCACCAGCTGCCTACAAAGACAACCGGGCCCCCTCAGTGACCTCAGCCACACACAGCGGGTACAGGCTGAACGACTACGTGTGAGTCCCCATGGCCAGCTTCTCCCCAGGGCCGCGGCGGGCTGGGTCCCCTGTGGGAGTGTCGATGGAGGCAGGGGTTCTAGCACCAAATTTACTTCTAGGTGATTTTTGTATTCAAGGAAATAACGTGAACGCGAGGAAGCGTTTTTAGAGCGCAGGAACAGAGGTGAAATAAGAGGAGGAGAAAGCGCTCTGTACCAAAGACTGAAAAAAAATCCCATTTTTGTATTTATTATATGTATTTATGTGGGTGATTTGATAACAAGTTTAATACAGTCACTTGGGAGTTCGGTCAGTGGGGTTGGTTTGTGATCTAGGAATAAACCCTGTGGACACGGCTGTTTATGCGGACGGTGTCTGTTACTCTGTCTCCTAAGGTGCTGGTAACCACAGTGGGAGCCCGTGGGGGCTCAGGGTTGCAGAGCCATGCACCAGTGCTGACCACAGCACAAGGGAGTCCCGAATCGGACGCAGGGTGGGGATCTCAGGGACGGCGAGGCTGATCTCCATCTGTAAGATGCTTGAAAACGCTGGAGCTGCACCCCGGCTTGAACTCAGGGGCAGTGCTGGAGAGAAGGGGCTTCCTTGGAAAAAGACAGTTGCCAGAAGTCACAGAATAAGGACAGTGTCGGCCGGGCACGGTGGCTCACGCCTGTAATCCCAGCACTTTGGGAGGCCGAGGTGGGCGGATCACAAAGTCAAGAGATGGAGACCATCCTGACTAACATGGTGAAACCCCGTCTCTACTAAAAATACAAAAATTAGCTGGGTGTGGTGGCGCGTGCCTGTAATCCCAGCTACTCAGGAGGCTGAGGCAGGAGAATTGCTTGAACTCAGGAGGCGGAGGTTACAGTGAGCCGAGATCGCGCCATTGCACTCCAACCTGGTGCCTGGTGATGAAGCGAGACTCTGTCTCAAAATAAACAAATAAATAAATAAGGACAATGTCATTTTCTTCCCATGAGCAATAGGTCCCCACTGGTAAGAAAACAAGAGTCAGAAGGAAAAATGGGGCCACGTGCAGCGGCTCCCGCCTGTAATCCCAGCGCTGTGGGAGGCTGAGGCGGGTAGATCACTTGAAGTCAGGAGTTCAAGACCAGCCTGGTTAACATGGTGAAACCCTGTCTCTCCTAAAAACCCAAAAATCAGCCAGGCATGGTGGTGGGTGTCTGTAGTCCCAGCTACTCAGGAGGCTGAGGCAGGAAAATCACTTGAACTCAGAAGGCGAAGGTTGCAGTGAGCCGAGATTGCACCACTGAACTCCAGCCTGGGCAACAGCGTGAGACTCTGTCTCAAAAAATAAATAAATAAATAAGAGAGGGGAAAATGGAGTGAAACATGGCCGGTGTCTTAGCTTTCTAGGCTTTGGCAAAAAGCCCAGTTAGGACGCTGCTGGCCCCCAAGGGCCCCACGGGGACTTCGCTGGCTTCTTTTCTGGGGTGGCCAGTCCCGGCTGCCATGAGCGCAGGTCCTAGCATCTGTGGCTGTTCCTACAGCTGCAAAAAGTGTCTAGGGAGCGAGGGAGGCCTGACGACTCTGAGGACACCGCTGATCCCTGCTGGCTGTCATCTACGTCACATGGTGACACACACACCTCATCAGCCCAGGGAGCCCGGGCCTGTTTTCACGTACACGGGGGCTCCTGTCCTTGGCCCACTTCAGACAGCCTGAGTAGGTACTGTCACCTTCTGAATGTGAAAGGAAACAGCTCAGTCTGCGGAAGGGCTTGGCCTGAGACCTATACGCAGAGGAGCTGTGATGTGAAGTCTCTCGATCCTCAGGGGTCCGGGAGTCAGGGCTGCTCCCCGAATGCAGGGAAGAGCCGCAGTGGGTCAGTCGCAGGCATGCAGCCGGCGGGCCAGGCTCGCCCGTGTGAGCCTGCTGAGACCCTGGCTTCCATGCCAGGGAGGTTCTATACAGGGGTCAAGAGGCTTGAGAACTGGTATTGAAAGGGCAGGACGGGCCGCCCACAGCCTGGAGCCCTGGAAACCACCAGGTCTGAGGCCTGCTGATGCTCTCCTGACCTCCTGTGTCCTCCTGGCCTGACTGGGTCGGGCACCTGCTTCTCCACTGGCCAAGGCTCACACTGGTAACATGTGCCCACCGGCAGCCCTCTTCTGACTGCTTTAGGCTCTGCCATTTATACCTAAGAAACTACACTGTGATAAAATTTCTCAGGGGACTTCTAGCAATATTGAAGAGTAGAGGATTTAAGGAATGGCTGGCCACATACTTAAATATTTCTTTTTTGTTTGTTTGTTGTTTTGAGATGGAGTCTCACTCCGTCGCCCAGGCTGGAGTGCAATGGCGCAATCTCTGCTCACTGCAACCTCTGCCTCCCGGGTTCAAGCGATTCTCCTGCCTCAGCCTCCCAAGTAGCTGGGACTACAGGTGCACACCCCACACTCAGCTAATTTTTGTATTTTAAGTAGAGACAGGGTTTTACCATGTTGGCCAGGCTGGTCTCGAACTCCTGACCTCAGGTGATCCACCTGCCTCAGCCTCCCAAAGTGCTGGGATTACGGGAGTGAGCCACCACACCCCACCATGAAAAAATAACTTTTTCAAACTCTTTCTCTGAATTCTGTCACTACTAAAATATGGCTCCCTCTTCTCCTCAAGTAAAAGACTAGTAACAGTGATTACAATTTATTGATCATTTACTATGTATCAGACATACTTTTCATCTACTAATCTGATTGAATTAGATAAATAGTATTTTTTTCTTTTTAGTTTTCTGTTTTGTTTTTTTGAGACAGGGTCTTGTTCTGTCACCCAAGCTGGAGTGCAGTGACTCAATCACAGTTCAGTGCAGCCCGACCGCCGAGGCTCAAGCAATTCTCCCATCTCAGCCTCCCGAGTAGCTTAGATTACAGGGGTCTACCATCACACATCTGATTAATGTTATTTTTTTTTGGTAGACAGCGTCTCACTGTTTTTCCCTGGCTGATTTCCAAATCCTGGGCAGGCTCAAGCAATCCTCCTACCTCACAGCCTTCCAAAGTGCTGGGATTATAAGCGTGAGCCAATGTACCAGCTGAATATTATTCTTAACTCCATTTTACAAAGAAGGAAACTAAAGCACAAAGAGATCAAATTACTTGCCTAGCGTCACAGAGCAAGTGAGTAAAAGACCTGGGATTTGAACCCAGAGCAAGGGGTGAATACATTATCTCAAGTAGACACATGACCTATAGTCTAAGCACATTTATTTCCAGATTTTATCCAAATAACTCAGGGAATTGTTTCATGGCCATATGTGGCTCTTTACCGAACCATCATACTACAGAGCTTGTGTTAACTGGGTCCTAGCCGGATTGGATGAAAGGTGATGTCAGACCCAGAGGTCCAAGATGGAATCCCATGGGAAACAGGAAGTGGCACACCGGAAGGGATATGCGTGGCTCTGCCGTCCGACAGCTGGCCAGTTCAGACAGGAAGCTGACTGCGTAAGACCTTGGTTCCCACCCTCAGGAAGCAGGTGTTAGGAATGCGGCGCCTGGCTCCCCTTTCTCTCTGGCTGTCGCTGTTACTCAGATCCTTTGCGATCCCTTGGCCACGTTACAACCTTGGCCATGAGAGATGCCTGTATTCGCCCAAATCTTTGGGACTAAGATTTCTTAACCAAGGTTGTTTCAACAAAGCTTGATCTCCTGGTGGAGGTACAACGTACAACCCCACATTTCAGATTGCAAAGGGAACATGACTCCAACTCATGTGTTCCAGGAAATCGTTGTTACAGGCATAAATTTACAGCGTGACCCTTATGGATTCAGAAATGCTGCGTTTCTTTGTTTCTCTAAATCAAATCAAATTTGGCTCCAATTCAGAGAGATCTAAAGTCATTATGGGGGAAAAAATGCAGATTGAAGTCAACCACGTTTTCCGGTTCCCTTCCCCTGCATTGAGGGCGGGTCTCAGGGGCCCAGCACAAAGGGAGGCCCTAGACTTAGAAGGGATGGGGGACCGGTTTTCAGTCCTTGGGGGTCACCCTGGTTTCCCACTGACTGCCAGGCCTGATGCCTTCACAGCCTAGGAGCTCCCAGTGCTCCTTAACCCTCCCTGTGAATAGGCACTGGAATCTTCTACCCCGTAGAACCCTGGAGAGAAAGTAACTTTTTCCTAGGCAGTCTCTGGGAAGGCATTTCCCGAGATGGAGCCGCCCCTTCTATACTGAAAGCACCTGTTTCCCCTCTTGGACAGCACATCCTAATTGTTTCATGGATTTAGACTTTTGAAATCAAAAGCTTCTGAAATCTCCCAGAAATCCCACTTTCATGTCAACCACTGTGGTCCTAAATGGAAATAATTTGAAAACTACAGCACAATTTGAAGCGTGTATAATAACCATCAATTTCTTGATAGTAACCAACCAAAAATGGCACCAGAATCTGTACCCAAAAATCCTGGCCCCAAAGCCCCACACTTGGCCACAACGCCATCCCGCCTCCCTGCCTTGCCCCCCTGTCCTCACTGCCAGGCAGAAGGAACAGCATGGATGGTGACAATCCAGGCAGGGAGACCCCACGTGGGTCAGGGCCAGGCGGTGGCAGTGGAGAGGTGGGAAGAGACGGGGATGGGTCTGCAGGTAGAGCTGATAGGGTTTCCTGATGGCTAGGCGTGCAGCGTGGAAAAAAGATGCTTTAAAGATGGTGCCAAGGTTTGGGATCGGATCAACTGGAAGAAGAGCAACACCATTTTCGGAAATGAAGAAGATTCCAGAAAGAACAGGTGTTGGTGAGGTAGATCAAGGTTCCTTTCATCTATTTGGTCTGAGCTGCCTTGAGTGGAGAAGCTGAGTGCGTAGGTAGACATATAAAGCTGGCGTTCAGGGAGAGCCCTGAGCTGGAGAGATTGGCCCAGAGATGGAATTTAAACCGTGCAGCTAGAAAAAAAGTGGAAACAGATGAGGAATCCAAGAGACTGGGCCAAGCCCTAGAGAGAGTGGCATCCAGATGCTGGCAAAGGCGGGAGGTTCAGCACAGGAGCCAGGTGAGAAATGCCCAGGGGGGAAGGAGAACCAAAGAGGACTGTCCTGGAAGCCGAGGGCAGAGCCCGTTTCAAGGAGGAGGGAACAGTCATCAACAGCGGGGATTCACCACCTTCAGCTTCACATCCACACCAGGAGTGAGCACTAGCCTCACCTTCCTTCCACAGATGGGAAAAAGGGCTGGGAAAATTGCTCCCACGACTGGAAGGTGCACGTAAAGCCCCTTCGCCATGAGAAAAGTTTCATGCAACTGGAAATTCACATTTCCTGCTGCACATGAGTGACAGTTTAGTAAAGCAATTCCTGAGAGCCACATGGAGACCCAAGAGGACTTCATGTGTGTGGGTCTGGGGGGAT